TCCTGTATTTCTGCACTTCTTTTATTCTACTGGCAGAAGCTGATTTTTCAGCTCCTTAGTTCAGCTATTCATGTGACATTTAGAAATTTCTCTTGAGATCTTTAAAACACGGCATAGAACTCTGCCTGTAACATGGGAATTTTAGTTTGCTCTCTCAGCAAGAGGTATATTATTTTGGAATCCAGTTCTTAGTAGGAGTAGAAGGAAGGAGGGATGAAATCTTAGTATTTCAAGGTCTGTATAGAAGTCTCACAAGTCCAAGAATGCCACATGACTAAAGAAAAGCACTTCTTTTAAATTTAGCTTTTCTCCAGACTGAGACAATGCTGAGCAATGGCATACGTGGTTTTCCCATGTTTACACAGAACTAAATTCTAAATCCTAATGCCAAGCCATCACAGGTTTCTGTGTTCAAAAGAAGCTGCAAAACTGAACAGTTGCAAGGACTAGATCTATACACTTAATTTTTCTACTGACTTTAGTTATGCATGTCCTGTGCTTGCTTGTAAGACTTGAAAGCTGGTAATTTATTCCTGCTGATATAGCAAGGTTTCAGGGGTAGCTTTGCCTGTGTGCCTTCCCATAAGCTCTCAGATGTCTGTCAGAGGAATTAAACAGAAAATAAAATTTTGCAAGTCCATCTATTAAAAATTAATTTGTAATTGGTGAGTTGCTAAGGTTCCTTTTTTCAAAATGTCAGCAGAGATTAATTAGAATTTTATTTCTGCAAGGTATTGGGATAAAATGTATACTCCATCAAAGAACAAAAACATGGTATTTCGAAAAGTGTTGTCTGAGTAAAAGCCAAAGCAGGATCATTGGAGACATTGTGATAGAAGGATTAAAATTTTGCCTCATTTAATATTAGGACTGCTCATGGACTATGTATGATGCATCCCAAATGGAGGGGACACAGAAATGACAGTGATTTTAATTCTAGGCGTTATGATTTTTAATCATAGAATCAACCGGGCTGAAAAAGACCTCCGAGATCGTCAAGTCCAACCCTTGATCCAACACCACCGTGTTTACTAGACTATGCTGCTCAGTGCCACATCCAGTCTCATTTTAAAAACTTCCAGAGACAGTGAATACACCACCTCCCTGGGCAGGCCATTCCAATGTCTGATCACTCTCTGTAAAAAATTTCTTCCTAATATCCAACTCAAACGTCCCCTGGCAGAGCTTAAGCCCATGCCCTCTTGTCCTGCTGATTGCCTGGGAGAAGAGACCAACCCCCACCTGGCTACAGCCTCCTCTCAGGTAGTTGTAGAGAGTGATGAGGTCTCCCCTGAGCCTCCTCTTTTCCAGACTAAACAACCCCAGCTCCCTCAGCCTCTCCTCACAGGACTTGTGCTCCAGTCCCTTCACCAGCCTCGTTGCTCTTCTCTGGACCCGCTCCAGCACCTCAGTATCCTTCCTGAACTGAGGGGCCCAGAGCTGAACACAGCACTTCAGGTGTGGCCTCACCAGCACTGAGTACAGGGGAAGGATCACTTTCCTGCTCCTGCTGGCCACACTGTTCCTGATCCAGGCCAGGATGCCATTGGCCTTCTTGGCCACCTGGGCACACTGCTGGCTCATGTTCAGCCTCCTGTCAATCCAAACTCCCAAGTTCCTTTCTGCCTGGCTGCTCTCCAGCCACTCTGTGCCCAGCCTGTAGCGCTGCAGGGGGTTGTTGTGGCCAAAGTGCAGGACCCAGCACTTGGCCTTGTTGAACTTCATTCCATCGGAATCAGCCCATCTCTCCAGCCTATCCAGATCCCTCTGCAGAGCCCTCCTGCCTTCCGGCAGGTCAACACTCCCTCCCAACTTGGTGTCATCTGCAAATTTGCTGATGATGGACTCAATCCCCTCATCCACATCATCAGTAAAGATGTTAAACAGGACTGGGCCCAGCACTGATCCCTGGGGGACATCACTAATGACCGGCCGCCAGCTGGATGCAGCCCCGTTCACCAGCACTCTCTGGGCCCGGCCCTCCAGCCAGTTCTTAACCCAGCACAGAGTGTCCCTGTCCAAGCCGTGGGCTGCCACTTTTTCAGGAAAATACTGTGGGAGGCAGTGAAGGCTTTGCTGAAGTCCAGATAGACACATCCGCAGCCTTCCCACTCTTCAAGTAACAATACATACTGGCTGATGAACTCATTTTCGAAAAAAATCATAAAATGGTGAGAAAACATGAGTCTGCAACTTAACCTACTCACTTTCTCCTTCTATTTTTGATAGAATAAACTAATAGGTTTATTCAGTACCTATCCAAATGCAAGCTTCCCTGGATACTCCCTGAATCTTCTAATGGAAGGATCAGTGACCAGGTCCTTATTCATACCATCTAGTCTGACAGATTTTGCAGTGTTTCACCCCAACCTCTTCCTTTTGTGTCTCCCACCAAACAGAAACTGCACACACGTGTGCATGGACACACAGGTGGCCTAATCCAGTTCCTCCTTTCTTGTTGATCAGTCTTGAATTGTGGAACATAGGCATGCTCTCACTCACGTACCTTAAAGATACATTCACATTTGCAGTCCCTTTCAGGTTATGCATAATAACTTTTCACATCCTTTTACACAAATTTAACCCTTGGTCAGATCCTACTCAGCAACCTGCAGTCCTGAGGCTTCTGATCACTCTTGTTGCCCTTCATGCTTTTCTGATGTGAAGAGGTGAGAACAGCCCACTATGTTCAAGTGACAAGAACGCTCTGAACCTACTAATAAATTAATGTTCTTATTATCAGTAAAGTAATATTGGTTTGGCATTTGTTAGAGCAAAACATCAATGATTAAGAGCTGATATTGTAGCCGTGGTTTCGGAGTGCATTAAAAGCATGCTTCATTAATTTTTAATGTGTAAATAAGAACCTCTTATCTGTATAGTATGGCAAACTAAAAGTATAACTGAGATCGATGTGGGTCACTGAGGCAATTAAGTCATGTGCTTGCTAAACCAGAGCCTTCTGACTAAACATCTTCCTGCATCTGTCCTCTACAAGGCATGTGCATTTCCCATCACAGAGATTATCTGAATATATTCAGTGTTGGCCAGCAATTTTCATTGACCTACATAAGTAAAACAGAAGAATAACTCTTAATGTGGAAGCATAGTATTCTTAATAAAACCTAGTAATTATTCTTAATGAGACTGTACAACAGTCACTCTGAGACCTGTGTTTCCCAGGATTGTTCAAGAATGTTTGGTGCTACGTTTCATCATATCATTCCAAAAAGATGAGTAATGGAAACATTTCTGCCAGAGCATGTCCTTATTTATTTACTGTAAGTATTAAGCAAAGTCATAAAGCACTATCCAAGCTGAAAAACTGACACCCACTGACACACAGCATGCTTATCAAAACAAGTAAGCCTCGGTGTACAAAATTGTATTTTGTTCTGTCAGCATTCCAAACACTTTTCTTCCCACTCAGTAGTTTTGTGGCTTTAATCTACAAAAGCTGAAATACTCCTCTTTTTCTTATTAATGGAACACAAGAGCTCTGAGTACATTTAGGAAAACGTCTATTTAACTCTGTCAAGGAACTGCTGAAAAGTTGGCATGGTTCAGTGACTGAAAAACTGTGACTATTGCAATGTAGCCTAAAAGCAGAAGTTCATATAGCACTTCCTCTTCTAGTTGGCTGTTTTGATGCTATCTAATTTAAATATCCTGAAGAACAAGCTCTGTAGCTCCACACAGTGTTTATTTACAAACATCAAACCTCTGAACTGCCCACAGAATACCTAGAGAGTTTTCTAAACGTGGATAAAGTCAACCAACTTTCTGTAATTTTCAAAGGCATTCTTCTTTAATGGGTTTATTTTTCAGGTTATTCAATATTTATTTCTAGGTTATTCAATATTTGGGAGGTCCATCTAAGAATATAACTGACAGTATTCATACTTTTTTGTATGTATATTAGCAAATAGTCCTGACGTTGCATCTTTTGCCCCTTCAGCTAAGTAGGTACAAGCTTCTGCTTGACAAGAGCTCAAATCTGTCTCTTTAAGTAATTTACACAAATAACAGTAAGATCTTAGTAAGATTTTAACAACAAAGACTTTGACAACATCCTAGAGACCATGAAGATGTCAGTCTATTGTCTCAGATCAGAAGACAGAGCCCTTGGCATATAACTGTCCTCATATTTCTGAGCCTCATAATTAGAAAACATATTTGCTTTGGTGTGCAGGCATAGTCATGAATGAGAGCAATTTACTCATAAATACAGTAATGAAAAGGCTCTACTTTATTGTGATATTTTTGTACTGAAATGGTTACCATTTAATCAACGATGATTTGGGATGAGCAATCAATTTTCATGTAATTTATCAAGACAGAAAATATTTCCAAGTTCTGTCCTGCAAGTAGAAGGTATTTTTAAGCCGCAATGTACAGATCACTAACAAATAGATAAAAAAGGCAGAATTTGAAAATAATTTCTTTTACATTGGACTTCCAACAGGAAACAGCTCAAAATATGATGCCTCTTCTGACAGTGACAATTTCAGCTGTACTTTCAGCCGTATTTTAGGGCTGTTTGGATGGCTTTGACTCAGTAACAACTTGGCTGAATGTGATACAAGGCCCTTATAAAAAAAGCTGACGTTTTTTCATTGTAGTCACTAATCACAAAGGACTACAAGCTGAATTGATCACCTATTTCTTTCAGACACAGCCAGGTCAGTACAGACAGAAATAAATTCCTAGGGGGAAGAGAGATGGGAACTTGAATTCCTGTTGCCCAGGATGCTGTATGATTGTAACACACAAACTGATAAAAAACCAGGCTTTTGAAACAAGCAGGTAATTTGTGTGGCACTTAGTGGATCACTTACAGCACTCTGTGTTTATTTCCAAGCAGCCTGGGAACAAAATTCCAAAGTTCAGATGGTAGTCTGCTAGCAAAATATGTAAAAAGGAACAGCTCAAGCACTATAAACACATAAAACAGAGCAGAGTGTCTATAGCTCTCTCTAGTTATAAAATAAAATAAATAAAAGCCTGCAGAGGGCACTGCTAAATGCTACTGCCATCTTAACATACTCTCAGAGCTTATTTATTATGCATCTCAATCCAAACAAGTGCCTACAACGAAGAGACACAGAAGACAGTGTAAGGTTAATATTCACTAATATTATACAAGAAAATCCCAGTGGTTTCTTCTTTGATTTTACTTTGTTCCTTATATCTGTCCAATAAGATACTTGAAAATGTGTTTCACATCTTGGCACCTGTAAGTAAGGACCCTGCTTCTTGGATATAGACTGTAGTCCCATGCTGCAGATGATGTTCAAGAGCCTACCAGACCAGTCTCCTGTCTCCAACATCTATGTTGTCCTTTACTCTTCATTTTCAGACTGAAAACATTCAAACTCAACAGGGGAGTTGACACTGTATATCATAAGCATTAAGGATAACGTACGGTTATAATACGTATAGCAATATAATTCAAGTGCACTTTTGTGAGTTTCAGATTATACAGTAAAGTAGATGTTCACAGAATTCCAGAAACACCTAGTAAAACAAATAGTTTAAGTGCATAACATATGAGAAGTCTAGGTTATCCCATATACCAATGCTTTCCATACTCAAGAGCGGCTATCTCTTCAACTCTTTTGTCCGCAACTCCCATACCCACCTAATAAACTCTAGTTGCACCATGTACCCTATACTTCATATAGGTAGTGTTACCTGGTAAAAACGTCATCACCCCAAAAAAGCTTCATTAATTTCCTTCCACACAAGGCAGCTCCCAGGGTTCTTTGGTCAGTTTGCTCACAGTTAATAAAGAATGTTTTTCCAGCCATATTGGTTTATACTGAAAATTATGTTAGAAAATGTATACCAGAGTCAGTGAGCTCCCTCTGCAATGTTCTGCTTGGAAAGCCACAAAAATAAACTTATTTCCTAAAGCCAAGACATTAAAAATGATTGGTTATTCTGGATGTTTCAGTTCCTAGTATCAGATATCAAAGACTTTCAAGGAATGCAGTTCTCCAGACATATTCAGAAACCACAATGGCTTTTGGCAAAGTAATTGTGTGCACAAAGCAAATACTTCAGTGGTAAGGTATTCATGAAACTATGAGCATATTCACCAGTCAGCGAAACCCAGAAAATAAAGTCTGAAACAACAGACTGCATTTCTAAGGATGTTCTCATTGATGTAGAGGATGTTTTAAAAATCAACCCTACTGAACTTATAGCAGTTATGAAAACCAAACTGAAGCCCTCAGGGCTGTAAAATCCAAAGAGCTCAGATTTTCTACAAATGTTGTGCTGGCTAAGTTAAGTCTGATAGATCATGGCTTTGGAACATATCTTTATTGACATTGACAATGATTAATCCACTAAATGATACATGTTGCTTTCAGAACTGTCAAATATTTTTCTCCCCTTTTATCTGGTTTTGTATATTATGTATGGCAGTTAATGCTTGGAAAGAGCTCTGCTATGATTTCCCCTTCTGTTTTCTCAGAGACAAATAAACAAAACAAAGTATTTTGGGCCTAAATTTATTTGATTTCTAACCTAACTAAAACACAACTACAACTTTATAGTAGTATTTGTATGCACACATATTTTCACTCTAAAATTCACTAGTAAATTTACTTGTATATTTCATGTTTTGGGTTCTTAAACACCCAGCAAAAGCTACTTTTGAGTAATAGATACCTCCCAAAAATTTAGAATGAAAAGATGTCAGTTGTTTGGTTCATTCACTGAAAAAAAACCACTAGAAACATTATTGCAAAACACTACGGAAAAACTTAGGAAACTGGGTTCTAACAGTACTGAATTATACTGCTGATTAGTTATAAACAAGGGTTCAGTGAGAAACTAAAACAGTACTGTGTTACTTGTGTGAAATGGACAATACACTATAAAATGAATGGTGAGTATTTACATGTTATTAGAGAATTATCTGAAACCCATAATTATTAATTGCATTGCCTTATAAGTTAACAAATGGCAAATAATGTTGCCAAATAAATTTGTGACCCCTTGTGAGTGAATGGTTCCTAGCTTTTTACTGTATTTAAATATAGCCCGGTATACAAAATAATTTTTAAAATCAACAGAAAGTAAATATAAACATTAGGACTAAGAACTGTACTGTACTCTATTCCAGAATTATTGCTTTTGCCCCAGTACTTCAGGTCATCTACTGTAACTAAGCACAAATTACTGAGTTCAATTTTGCAGTAGCAATAGAATAAACTGTTCTCCTCCTTCTTCCTAAACAGTTTCTTTCATGAGTACTCCTTGTACTCCTTCCATCTCTCTTGGCTGTATTCAGAAAATGTCTGAAATAATCAGAGTGACTTTTCTTTTTATTAATTGCAACTGGCTAGCCTTAACATTTAATCCATTTATTTTATTTATTTAATTTTTATTTTATTTTTAAAATACATAAGATTTTCCTATTGTGTTATAAGAAATAATTTTCCTTTTATTGGGTTCTTTTTTAAAATTTCTAATACTATTATTTTGATATTTGTTTACATTTCATCGTTAAGGATGTTAACAAACATTATAATTCACTCTCTGAGATAACCTCTGTGGGCCGTCTGTGGGAAAGTAAGTTGAGTATTTGCCCTACCTTGTCCTGTTTATATGGAACTGTTCTCAGTGTAAAAGTCCATTTTGTTGGTTCAAAGGATGATAAAATGCGCAGTTTAAATAAGAGGTTAATGCAATCTTCACACTTATGAGCAGAAATCTGCAAGGTAAAAGACTCATTTGTTCCATAACCACTTTTAAGAAGTGAAGATAACTTAATAAAGACATTGTAATGCACAAAACACATGTGCTTATGCACTGTCACACCCTTTCTGGGTTTACATGACATAATGCCTGCATCTTTAAGCAGCATGACAAAAACTTAATGACACTGACCACGGCCATGCCTCACTAAGAGTCTGTCAGTTGTTTGTTGGTTTTGTTTGTTTTTGTTCGTTTTTTTTTGGTTTGTTTTGGGATTTTGTTTTTGGTTTTGTTTTTTTTTACTTTGAGCTATGTTGATGGTAGTGACAATAGTGAGTGGAGAAGTCACTGTTTTTTTAAATTTAACAGGCAAGGACTGATCCTCCATCACTGCTCATGGAACAGCTGCAGATAAAACATTTCGGGAGAACTAGCTGCAGAACCTAAATGACAGCTCATGGCAATAGCTGCACATCAACACCAGGAGTCTTAACAGTGGCAACTACACAGAATAGGTACTCTCGTCTAACACCTTCATTCTCAATCTACTTTTGCCACCAGCAGTGTCTCCTCCTTCCTTTCACTAGCTGGCTAAAAGCAGGACTAAGTATTTAGGTTTAGACATTTCAATGTTCCTAGATGTTCCCACAGCTCTGCATGAGCTCTTCCTTCCTAGGACACAGCTATCTCAAGAATGCAGTTTCCAAAACAACACAACTGTCACTGAATAGGCAGCTGCAAGCAAGTCTTATCTTCAGCTAGGTGAACTTGATGACAACTGACAAGTGGACCTTTGTGCATAAAGGGCTTTCAAAATTCTCTTGAGCTTTGTTATCATAGTCTTGCTGCTATATCCTGTAATCGTGCCTTGGTAGCCACTGCCAGATCTACTCAAGAAATTCCCTGAGCTTGGTGTACTGCACGCATTTATTTCTACACAACTTTTGTGTCCCAGGGTATTATGAGTTACATTCCCATACCACAACACTGAGAAATATGCTTTTGTAGTCAAGTACAAACAGCCTATTATTAGAAAAAGTCAATTATTACCACATTACCATTCTAGGCACGTTTTTGATTCAGCCTACAAAAATGTATCAAAAACATCACACAGTTTAGGTTGCATTCGTGTTATTGATGTGTGGATTTCGATAATCACACTTTTAATGACATGCTGCTACCAACATTACTTTTCATTTCAAACATGTACTCTCATGTCTCTTCACGGAGAAAAGAACAGCAGCCATCCAAAGCTGACAAGGGCTCCAGTCTTTACTCTTACAAAAAAAAAACCAGCAATCCAGTTGCTATTAAGAGCAGTACCTGTTTCTTTCAATGCTGCTCCCAGCACACAAACTGGCATTGATCTTCACGCACCAACAACATGACTTTAAAGTATGTTTGCCTCTTATATGAACGTTAGGATGCTGCAGCATTAACTAAGGAAGGTAAAAAGAAGTACGAAAGGCATGCAGGTCCCTTACTAACTGTTCCATGGATTTTCTTTGACAAATTTTTCTGTACTTTCATGAAGTAGGATGAACTCGGCAAGATGCAATTAATCCAGGAGAAGGATGATTCTGGAGTTGTAACTATTCTTCAGGATGTATTTTGTGTCATTTGTTTCATAATCTGAGAAATACAAGGGCAGTCAATAACATGAGATGATGCCACACTTCTAATATAATTTCCATATCCTAGTTTACCAGGCTAGCTGTCAAAAAGGATTCAGGGAAGAGACTATAGCAAGGAGGGTGTTTGTAGAAGCCCAGGTTGGCATATATCTGAAAGCAGGGAATTTGATTGCAGGGCATTTTCAAGTTGCACAGTTAAAAGCATAAGCTATGAAATATCTTGCTGTTTTGTTCCTTTACTACATTTTTTTTCCAAGGTTTACAACCATTACAGTTTGGTCTGAATTCTAACAGATATGGATATGGATTCTAACAGATATGGATTCTCTTTTTGTGTTCAGATAAAAATATTTCAGATGGGGCACAGTATTCATATGGTAAGAACAATTTATTACCAAAAAGCTGTTAGAAGAAAGCAGGCCTTAGATGTGGGGACAGACCATGTTCTCTGAAGGGCACTGGGTAATTTACATGCAGTGAGACCTGTTTCCAGATAGCTCAGTCCAGAGGAACTCCTCTAACAGACAGTGCTGGGGGACTGGTTCACAAAACTTTTCTACTTATGTCTAGCAATACCTATTTCTAACACAAGCACTGCCCTTGCAACAGCATAGAGATCTTACCTTTAGTTCTCTTCCATTTCATTTCCCAAGAGAGATACTAACTAGCCTTATTCACCACCTCTAAAGCTGTAGCTTTAGTTTCTATTTCTACTTATCATCCTTCACACCACATGCTCCTACTGTCTCTGTACGTGCAAATAAAAGCATCTGGGCAATCATGGAAACAAGACTAAGTAACAGGCCTTGGATAAAAATAACTCAGAGCAGAACACTGATCCAAGTCATCACTTGGGACGAAGGTCTGTGCCTGCCCCTTGGCAGACGCTCGATGCCAGGTACACACTCTGCATGAACTGTGCCCTGGGCTCACCCTGCCCCGATACAGCTCATGCCAGGCCTTCCCCACACAGAGTCCATAGTAGTCACAGAATGGCGTGGGTTGGAAAGGACCTAAGAGATCACCTCATTTCAACCCCCCTGCCACAAGCAGGGACACCTTCCACTACACCAGGCTGGTCACAGCCCCATCCGGCCTGGCCTTGAACATTTCCAGGAATGGAGATCCACAACTTCTCCAGGCGGCCTGTACCAGTGCCTCACCACCCTCGCAGCAGAGATATTTTTCCTGTATACCTACTCTGAACCTGTTCTCTCCTGGAATCCATTCCTCTTGTCCTGTCCCACCCTTGCTCCCCCTCCCTCTCCCCTCCGCTTCCATGTCCCCCGGTTCCCCTTCCCTCTATACCAGCTCCTCTCTCTCCTCGCACCTCCTCCTTCTGCTCCTTTTCCTCCTTCCATTCCCATTCCCCTCCCTCTCTCCGTCTCCCTCTCTCCGTCTCCCTCTCTCCGTCTCCCTCTCTCCGTCTCCCTCTCTCCGTCTCCCTCTCTCCCTCCCGCGCACGCGCCCCCGCGTACCCCCGACTCCGGGCGCGCCTTTTCCGCCCGGAGCAGTGACGTGTACATACCTGACGTCACTTCCGCGCGGCGTGGCCCCGCCCGCTCCGCGCCACCGCCCGGGACCTGGAACAGGGTACGGGGGGGAGGAGCGGGAAGGGGAAGGGGAGGAGGAGGAGGAGGAGCAAGAGGAGCAGCGGTCGGAGATGGCGGCCGGGCCCTCGGCGGCGACACCGACCCGGAGCGCGGGCGGGCGAGGCACCCGCGGCAGGGCAGAGCCGCCGCTGCCGCCGCCGCAGCGCCGCGTTGCCCGCTCGGAGCAGTGACTGGCCGACCCGGCCCCCCGCGCCGCCTCCCGCCGGCCCGCCCGGCCCTCCTGCCAGCCCGGACTCGCCTGCCGCCCGGCACTGGCGGCCCCAGCACCGGGCAGGCCTCGGGTCGCGTCTGCGGCCGTCCCGCCCCGCGCCCGTACCCCTGCCCGTGCCCGAGGTTATGTGCGATCGGCCGCCCAGCCTGCCCCGCTCCCTCGGCTGATGGCCCCGCTGCCCCCCGCCTAGGGCACACAGGCTGACCGCCCGCGCCTGGGGCACGGCGACATCCACAGCCATGTATTTCCTCAGCGGCTGGCCTAAGAGGCTGCTGTGTCCTCTGGAGTCTCTGGAGCGACCGCTTCACATCCAGACGGATCCCCAGAGAGCTTTCTTCGCAGTTTTGTCCCCGTCTCAGCTGAGCATCTGGTACTGCAGAGTAAGTATCCATCGGTTTGTCAGCTCTCGGACCCTGCACCCCCAGCTGAAAAGCCCTCTTGTCTGTTAATTCTTTTTGTTGTTCTTCCAGACACGCTTGTAAAATTTGAGATTAAATTGATAGCATACTTCATTATTTATGAAGTAGTGATTAAGCTACGATGTTTACTGACAGCAATGTGGCGTTAAGAAAATATGCAACATCAGTCTACTTGCAGTTAACACCTGTTATGCCTGAAAAATGAAACTTCCAACCAACTTTTATTTTTCTTTAACACTAAATAGGGCTTATGGTTAACGTAAGGAGTGTTTGTAGCAATTTTTTTTGGTTTTTTTTGCAAATATACTTCATGTCTTCTGCCGTTTCAGGTTCTGTGTTTTATATAGAAAACATAGGAATGTAGGAGATATGAAATAGTTTTTGTAAAGCACAGAACAAACTCACTACTCAGAAAGTTATAACGCAGAAGTTCACAAACCTTTATGGAAAGGTTTGAAAGTTTTGTTGCCCTAACAGAAGACTTGTCATGGCTTTTGCATGGAAGTTGTTGCTGCAGCAACATCCAGTTTTAAGACTGTGTGAATAATTGACATTAAGTGCCCTACTCTTAATTCACATTGTGTTAATGTGAATATGGCTTGTCAGTTTGATTTGATGCATCAGTGAAACAACTGTGATACTGACTTTGAATTTTGATGCTGAATCCTTTTAAATACTGCCTAGATTAGACCCTAAATCTCTCTATAAATATCTCCAGTTCCAGGTAATGTAGAGTTCATCTCAGATTACCCGGGAAAAACAACAATCCAGCTTTAGAAGTCTGATACTGGAAGATGTCAAATAATAGTCATAACTTTAAAAATCTCATTTTAAGTTATGCTGAGATTTCATCACATTACGTTTTATTGTGCTCTGCATGGCTGTTCCTTAGTTCCTGGCTGAGGTGCTGATGCTGTTTTTGGAACCTAGGCAGGTATCCTGCTAGTAACTGTGCTGTGGGAACATCATCATGTGGCCTCTGTTTCCTTAGGTTCGTTGCACACTTGTGTATAAACTGTACACTTTTCCAGCTTTTGCCAGTTTTTGAACATGTAGCAGTAGTTTGTCAGCAGAGCACAATGGATCTTTTCCGGGAAAATATATAAAGAACCCCAAGAGGCATGTGGAATGCTTCTCAAGATGTGTGCTGTTGTCTAGAACGTAGTTTAGTTTATGGTCTGCTCCCAAGGACGAGGTTCCTTAACTCACATGCTTGGACTTGTTTTGAAATGTTAAACATCGTATGATTGGCTACAGACAGAGGACTAGAAGAATTCACTTACTGCAGAAGAATTCAGTAAACTCACAGGCCGTTTACATTTTTAAAATAGATTTTGATTCGGTTTGTAGTGGGTGCTTTTGAGGAAGGTGCTGACTTTGCCAGGCTTGACCACTGACTGCTCTTAAACTAAAAAACGTGTCTCACTGCCTCTGTGGATAACTGGCTGTTAGGAAAAACCTGTAAGAATAAAGATTTTGGTCAAGGGCATTTTTAAAAAGAATTTCTTCCATTATTTTTCTGTATATAGCTAGGGTTTTGTTTGCTTGTTTTATTTGGGTCGAGGGTTTTTGTAGTTTTTTTTTTTTTCTTTGGTTGTTGAACTTCTATAAAATAAAATTACTGCATTCTAGAAAATGCTTTCATTTGTCAAAAGTATCTTCTTTGAAACAAGGATAAGTTCTAGTCGGGTTGAACTAACTCAATTTCTTGAAGTAGAAAAGCCTTCAGGCTGATGTTCTTGTTAAGGCTTGTTACTATCAGCTATGTATGAGAGGTTTCATATAAGAATGAGGTGGTGAGACAGGGAAAGTTCTGGTTTGAGTTTTTCAAAAACAAGGACCCCTTTGAAATACTTTCAGGTGTATGAGCTTACATTCAGTGTGTATATTTTTGAAAGTGACGTAGTAATGTTTAAAACTCCCATTTCATCTACTGTATGCTAAGAACTAGTGGAACTAAGGAAAGTTTGTCCCAAAGCATGGATTATTTTCTGTTTGGGAATTAATATAGGTATTAATATTAGAAACTGGGATGAGTAGTGTTGGTAAAAAACAGATGGAATTCTGTTAGTGTTTTTGAACCAAAAAGTCCTATTTTACATGTTGTGAGAGATTGGATTGTGTATCGAGAAGATCTGTGACCAGTAGTGAATGTTTTTAGTCATGCACCACTATAGGTGAAAGCTCATAGAACACAGACCCCCCTAATATGTTTACATTTATTTATAAATTACATGCATGTGCTGCTGTACCACTATGCACATTATTAGACATACACAACATAGTCTGGTCTCTTCTACTCTATTTCAGTTGGACGGGACCTATAGTGGTCACTTAGTCCCACTACCCAACCAGTTCTGGGCTGACTAGCAGTTAAATCATGTTATTAAGAACTGGTAGACTCAGGATATCAGCCACTTCTCCTGGATGCCTGTTCCAGGTTTTAAAAGGAAGGAAAAAGAAAAAGAAAAAAGAATGAGGTAAAGCCAAAATAAGCACATTTTAAAATTTTAACTTTATTTTATATATTAATGATGCAAAAAATCCTTTTATGGTCCCCAGTGGATTATATTAAGTACACCCCTCTTTGGAGACCTCTATTTCGAGTGTTTTTCTTAAATCAGAAGTTTTAGGCCTATGTACCTCAGAAAATTTCTTGACCATAAGAGCCAATGAAACTCTTCTCATTGACAACATTGGAAAGCTTGTCAAACGTTTTCATTCTGGTAATATTAAGTACTTAGATGCTTGAAATGAGAAATATCAATTAACAGAAGAAACTTTATGAAATGCTAAAATGAGGTAATTGATGTTTAATAGATTGACTTGGGAACTAAAGATGAGGTTTCACAAGGCAACTGTGCAGTCGTAAGTGTCACGATCTTTCCTGCTCACACCTCTGTTTTATTAGATTTTGTGGTGGACTAGTGATGTCTTTTTTACAGACCTGTTAAGCTTAATAAAAAAATAGAAGCCTGCTTTTTTTTAGCTCATGAATGGATCAAAGGAGCATAGTAGTTGGCTCGTCTACACTGTTACTCCTTTGACAGTTGTGGCTTTAATTTTAAATTGGTTTGGTTATCTCTTGAATTCTAGATATTCACCCACAGAGCTCTAGGATATTAAGGAAAGATGTATGCAGCTAAGGAAAAAGGTGTCATAAATGCGTAGAGTTTTATGCCTAACCCTTGAAAAGTGAATTGTGCACAACAAGAATAGTCTGCTGACGTAGCTGTATGTATAAATATAGTTCAGCATTTCCTTTCTTTAATTTTAACAAACTGGTGACAATGACAGGAATAAGTACTGCCATTGAATATTTAATGAAACTCCTGTAGGTTGTTGGATTATCTGCTATGACTCTGCCAGTCAAAACCAGTTTTGTAAACTCTTTGAAGCCAAGAGTAGCTTGCCCCAACTACTTATTTGGAGGAGGTTTTCTTGATTACCTGTGCTTCTCAGCTTATGATTTACGCTTACCCTTGTTTTCTAAAATTGTGTTGTGTTTTTTTCTTGGTGATGTTCTGATGTTGAGTCAGATCACCCTAATGAACTGAAATAGGTGTATGGGAAAGCATGCACGTCAGAATCCTGGATTGTCAAATAATTAATATTCATTCTAAATGCTGAATAAGTCAATATTCAGACAGCTCTCTTAGGTCACTGTTATGTGCTTTTCAGTGTCTAGTTGTTTCTGTATTAG